CTAACAGTGTGATTGTTCCAATGTACTCGAGGCAAGGCGACCGCTTATGGAATCAATTCAATTATGGGGTTATACGGTATTGGAGACGGCATGCAACTTCGTGGAATATCGAACTATCAGTAGATTGTTGTAAACAGCATTCGTGACGCTATACCAGGTGGTGGTCTAAACGTTTTTCGCCCACACAATACCTCGTTGCCATATCGGTCACATGAACTCAGTGAGCGGAATAAGACAGGCGTTATAATATGGTTTGCATTTGTCTGTTTACATGTTTTCACGAGACCTTCTAGGTGTAATAAGCCCAAGGGGGAGCCCAGGGGTTGTGTGGTTATTTGTTCAAGGAGGTGTCCTTACGGATTTGACTCAGTGGCAAACGGGAGTAGTTACTGTTAACGTACTACAACCATATCACAGTGTTTTAATTTGTCACTGCAGCAGCTAGAAAACAATTGACGTTCCGGACCTCAGTACTGTCATCACTAGTCAATGGTTGTTTATGTGTCAGGCTCTGAAGTCTGCTCATTTCGTTCCCAGGCTTTACGCAAATTTACGAAAGCTCGAGGAACTTCGGAAAGCGGCAATGCAGCGGTGTCTGGGGCCCTTTGGGAGGAAGTCTATAGGGGTTCCGGTAGACTACACGGATAAGAAAAGGATCGCTCGTTCTCGCAATTGCGACCTCAGGACCCATGCATATTGGTCCGAACTGCCGCTTACGCTGCACCTCTGTCAAAATTCATTCGTGGTCCTTTCTAAACTGCTCGAATTTTAGCTGGACCGTATTTACCCGTCTTACCTGCCAAGCAACGCCAAAAATAACAGTCCAGTTGGCAAATATTTCCCAGCGTCCCTCCTACGAAACCTCTCCTGCGCTTTTAGTCACCACGGCAGAGACGCAGCCACGGTGTATGGGACAATCAATAGCATTGACGAAAACAGTTAAAAACTGTACCCACAGCAGCAGCACATTCCTGCACCGCATAACTGTGAATTCGGTGCAGCACACCCGAAGGACTAGTGCCAGTAGCCTCAGCCAAGAATCCGTCAGTTCCGTCTTACCTGCTCACACCGTACCGATCTGTGCAGGCCTCAACTACGCTCTTTGGGTGATGGAGGCCGAAAAAGTCATAAAATACTAATCCATTTTTTTAAATGGTCATTGGTTTACAGTTTGAAACTATCGTTTAAATTCAAAGCTATAAGCAATCCGAAGCGCTGATAGACATGACTTGAGAGATAAATCACTTACCGGCTAATTCGGATCTACTTATGAACTGCGTCAAACTGCAGTGATCTTTTTTCAGCCACACGATTTGTGTTTTAAGAGTCAGCATTAATCACTACGTCCAATGGCACCTATAATCGACATGCGTTCGATTCATTATTGGAGAAAGCTTCGGCTAACAGGCGTAACGTTATCTTCTCGTTAGTCTAAAGCATATAACCTGTTAATATGCCCTCGAGAAAGCAAAGTTTCGAAGACTGCGAAGGAAAAATTGGCACCCTCGCTCTGCGTGATTCCTGACCGCGAGAATCCGATAGCCGATATTTCAAAATCATATAATCACCGCAACGGGGCTGTTAAGGTGGAATAGTTTCCTTGGAGGGGTAGTCTCAATGCGTTCCGCTATGCCCGCAAAGACATCCTGACTCCCAAGGACGATATTAGATTACCTAAACAGAATGGGATTCTGAGACCCATGATGGCTAACTCAACGAAAGCAAAAAAGGGACAGATTGTGGTACGAGGCCCAGTTGGGGTGACACTAGTTCTCGCCTGAATCACACATGCCACGGGTCGCATCAACCCATTAGTAGACGCTGGGTCGCTTGGTTATCATGCTAAGTTGAGAGTTATAAACTCGCCGACAGAAATGAACACCCTGAAGGGATACCAGCGAAAGGAGCCTATTTCTAACTACATCACTCTCACTGGACAAAAATACCCCAACCCTGAATTTTGGAATCCAGAACCGAAAGCTGAGACACCCGACCAGAGAATATTGGTCGACACGTGACCGTCAGCTAGGATACCGGCCCGCAGTTTAGATGTAAGGCAAAAAAACCAGTTTTACTCCACAACCGGAAGTCCACACCAGTGGATACATATTTCCAGTTGCGACCAACACGGCAGCGGATATGCGTGCCGAGATAAAGAATGTTAGACTCGATATCCAAATTTTTCGAACTCTCAACTCTCGAGCAGGATAACGCCGACCACTGACTAAACTGACAACGGCCACTCTAGGTCTGTGCCCATTGACCTCAATGAAGCTTGTCCGTCTCATTTTACCGAGGCTTCGGCTCATAGCTGGATGGAGAGTATATAAGCCCGTTACCACTTCAGAGGCGACGCCCCGACGCGACTTGACGGAACCACCCTTTTGATTGGCCAAATAACACGACAGTGAAGCCTGGCAAACGCCCCCGGTTCCTACGGTCGGACGTAGAGCCAGCCCCACGACAGCAAGTGATGCACTCACCCAACAAGGTACGAATGCCAAAACCCAACACAGCGAATGTCGACCCCGCCGTAGGACGCAGCTTCCAAAGGGAGGCTGTAAGTGTTCGAGTCTATTGCGACTTGGCGCGGCCTCAGGACCACTCGCTCTGCTGACGTGGCCTATCAGAAAGAACAGACCGCAAGAGCGCCTTTGAATTCCGCGACACCTC